AGATAGATAGATAGATAGATAGATAGATAGATAGATAGATAGATAGATAGACAGATAGATAGACAGATAGATAGACAGACAGACAGGCAGGCAGACAGGCAGGCAGACAGATAGAGACAGACAGGTGATAGATAGCTAGATAGATAGACAGACAGACAGACATACAGACAGAGAAAGACAGACAGACAGACAGACAGACAGACAGACAGACAGACAGATAGAGACAGACAGGTGATAGATAGCTAGATAGACAGACAGACAGACAGACAGACATTATTTTAATATAGTCAGTCATGAACTAAAGTGGGCCGGTCTAAGGCATGAAACTCCAGGGCTAAAAATGATGATAGATAGATAGATAGATAGATAGATAGATAGATAGATAGATAGATAGATAGATAGATAGATAGATAGATAGATAGATAGATAGAGAACAAAAAATAAAAATAAAGAAATTAAGTAAAATTTTAACAATTGCACATATTTTTCATTTTTGTTGCACATATGTACTTTAATTACACAACTATCATTGTACAGATGATTACGGGACAGTTTGATTATTTAGAGGTTTAAATATGATGTATAAAATGAACATGTCCTTTGTGAATGTGTCAGTAGTACGTACCTCTTTGGATCTGAGCCGCTGGTCATCCATGTTGACATCCAGAAGGGGGCGCACTCTGCACAGCAGCTTCCACCAGCTCCAGCGGGCCACTGCAGTGAGGACTCGCACATTTCTCTGAATACAGCTCACTGCCATCTGCTGAACCTGATCCCAGATCAGCACTCACATTAAACGCTGAATCAGACCCACACTGACACAACTATACACAAGATTGTAGCACTATTACTAAAGGCCATTAAAAGCCGTATTTTACACCTTTCCAAGAATTTAATTCTAAACAGGGAAATAAATATTGTCATCATTTGACATCATTAAAAATAAATGACATTTTAACAGAGGGTAATGAGGCACGTGTGTGCCATGGGATTCAGGACGTCCAGACCTTCCTCTCGTCAGGGGTAATGAAGACAGAACCATATCGTTTCATTATGGGAGCAGAGAGGGCCTGAAAACGACAGCGGAAATCACCCAGGGACATGTGCTCAGGGTAGCCTGCAACACACAGAAACAGAGACAGAGCTTGCGGTCTTTGAAAGGACATTTGGTAATTGACAATACAATATGGGATCTGATTTTGGTTTTTACAAGGATAACTGCTTCATATGTTCAGTATGTTTGAGATGCAGCACACAACCTGAGCAATCAATCATGACTTTACCACAAATGGTTAAAATCTCCAATCTTAAAGAAACAGTTCACCCAAAACGGAAAATGTGCTGAAAATGTCCTCACCCTCAGGCCATCCAAGATCTAGATGGGTTTGGTTCTTCATCAGAAAAGATTTGGAGAAATGTAGCATTACATCACTAGCTCTCCAATGTTTCCTCTGCAGTGAATGGGTGCCGTCAGAATGAGAGTCCAAACAGCTGATAAAAACATCACAATAATCCACACCACTCCAGTCCATCACTTAACATCTTGTGAAGAGAAAAGCTTCATTTTTGTAAGAATCAAATCCATCATTTACATGTTTTTAACTTTAAATCATAATGGATTCCATAATCTACAATATTGCTTTCTTCAGTGAAAAGTCGTCTCATCTGAATCAGATGAGAAATATGCACAGATCAAGCACTGTTTAGTAAAAGCGAAAACCAAGTTGCAATACAGTTCTAAACAAAAACGTCAGTGGATTTTGATGAGAGGACAACAGTGGATGGACTTTTTCACTGGAGGAAGACTCATATTTTTTTATGGACTTGTATTTTGGCCAAAAGCGACACGCACACTGTGAAACTACACGCGTGACTGACGAGTGTAAGAAGTGTGCTGAGGATCGGTGAGTGATACCTGCACTCCAGGCTGGTCAACAGCACACACCACCTCTGACGGGCTCGTCTCAGGGGCTGTGAAATCAACAGCTACTCCCTCCTGTGAAAATTACTCAGAAACTTAATAATGATCTGAAATTAAAAATGTCATTTCTTGTCATCTCTTCACTATTGTATCAAATAAAGAGGCCAAAAAAGTTGCATAAGCAAAAAGTTTTTAGATATAGTTGATCAAACAACAAAATGACAGTAAAGCATGCAGAAATGAAAGAGATATAAATATGCATAGGAATGTTACATTAATTATTATTTTGATATATTAATTTATTCATTACATTATTATTTTTAAAATAAAGTAATAAATCAAACTTATTTAAAGTTACATTTAATTATATTAATCACATTCAATATTTCATATTAATAGTCAATATTTGTATGAGGTTGTGAATAAAATTGCCAAAAAATCTATATTTGGTGCCATGAAAAATAACATTTTTAAATGTAATTTATTGACTAAATAGAAAAATGGCAGTAAAACATACAGAAATAAAAGTTATAGAGTAAGTATGGACAGGAATGTCATTTTAAATATTATTTATTTAATTAAATTAAATAGCAAGGTTCATACTCAATGTTTCTTCGCAGTTGTGAATAACAAAAACCTATTTTTTTGAGGTTGTCAAAAAAATTGCCCCCCCCCCCCCCAAATATTAATTATGTGGTGCCATAAAAAATGACAGATATGGTATTTTTACATCGAGTTCATTGAACAAATAGCAAAATGGCAGTCTAACACACAGAAATAGACTTTGTTTACTTTGTATTATTTACATTTTTTAATTAAATTCAATTAAATTCAGTTAATAATAACAATGGTTTGAGATTGTCATATAACATTTTTAGAGAGTTTATTGACCAAATAACAACATGTCAGTAAAACATACAGAAATGATAAATATTATTATTTTATACATTATTTAAATATATTACTTTTTAAACAAAATTCAATTCAATTTAAATGAAATCAGCAAGGTTCATATTCACATGTAATATTTTTTGAGACATAACACTAGAACATCTAACGTATCTCTGTAGTGGTTGGGCACGGTGTGTGTACCTGTGTGTATCTCTCCAGCGTGTGTGTGAATGTGTGGCTGAAGTAATGCTCCAGCAGTCTCTCTTGTAAGTAGTTGTGACAGAGCTCAGAGAAGCCGGCGGCCCGGTCGTCACCGCTGTGTCTGGGGTTCCTCAGGCCCGGAGTGTCCACCACGATCACAGAGGCCAGCGTCAGCTGCTGAGAGTGCAGCGCTCTGGAGAGAGAACCAGAGAAAACCTGGGAAACACTGCTAGATCACTCCAGAGAGATATAACTGTCACTGAACAGTGTGTTTACCTGTTGATGAGGGACACAATAGAGGTGAAGAGCTCCTCATACAGACCAGCTGCCATCCCTTCCACACACTGAGCGGCACTCAGTCTCGGACCTGAAACACACACACACACACACAGTTGACATATTTTCCTTTTGAGGACATCCTTAATTAAATAGAGCTGTCTGGGGTTCCTCAGGCCCGGAGTGTCCACCACGATCACAGAGGCCAGCGTCAGCTGCTGAGAGTGCAGCGCTCTGGAGAGAGAACCAGAGAAAACCTGGGAAACACTGCTAGATCACTCCAGAGAGATATAACTGTCACTGAACAGTGTGTTTACCTGTTGATGAGGGACACAATAGAGGTGAAGAGCTCCTCATACAGACCAGCTGCCATCCCTTCCACACACTGAGCGGCACTCAGTCTCGGACCTGAAACACACACGCACACACACACACACACACACAGTTGACATATTTTCCTTTTGAGGACATCCTTAATTAAATAGAGCTTGTGTAACTACAGAAGAGTCCAGTTTTAAATAGGAAAAATATAGAATCTCTTTGGTCATTTTTGAGCAAGATGCTAACGGTCTAATCAGATTCAATGAGCTATGCTAAGCTACAGCTAAAAGTGCTACCGCCAGACCCGGAGATCAGCTGAATGGATTCGAAAACGGTAAAACTGTTTAACTCTAGGGGAGTTGAAATATGAGCCTATTTTCAAAAATAGTGGAGTGTTCCTTTAATAGCCCCAGTCCTGATCAACTGAATAATGAAAGCGTCATAAGAACAGTATTTAATTGATTTGGTAAATATCCAAATAATAAGTGTCCAGTACATTCTCTCTAGTTCCTCTCTACACATTTGAGCTGAGATCTTCTCAGATTCTGGTGGGTTTAACAGAGTTCAGTGTGTGTTTCTGACCATCCTCTGGTTCCTCTGCGGCGCGGCGCTCTCTGACGCCTCCAGTGGCTCTCTGCAGTAACTGCCTCAGGTGGTGTTTGAAGACGGCAGTGTGGAGCTCCTCTCCCTCACAACCCAGGATGGCGCTGGCCGTCTGCGCGCTGTCAAAACTCATAAACTGCTTACGACCCACTGAAGCCGCGCAAGAACAGAAAAACAGAGAGTAAAGACTCACCTAATACTTTTCGCTTGACAAAATACAGCCGTAAGTCTTGTCCTGATTTACCCTTGCATGTTCCTGCGACGCCGAGATGGTAGATTCCTGCCAAAACATGCCAAATGGCCTTCTGCTCATCCGCCGAGAATCCTAAAGTGTTCAAGGCGGCCAGTAGCTTCCCAAAACCCACTGAAGCTCTCTGCTTTTCATCCACCTGAAGAGAAGGATGAAAAACCAGCTTTATTAAAACATATTAAAGAAAAGTTGACGTCAGAACACACATCTGCAAGACACTTTGAGCCTTGGTGCTCAGGTTCAAGTCCAGTCTGTCTCATTTCTGTTGTATTATATCAATAATAGTGCCAAAAACGAAAAACAAATGATACATTATTTAGTTATTAAATATTAAAATCAAGTTTATTTGTATAGTGCTTTTCACAATACAAATGTTTAAAGGTTTTAATATCGCATTTAGCAGATTAGAGCTGGCCGATAATATAGTTGACATTTTGCAAAAATATAAACAATCAAGAAGTTGAGATTTGCTATATTGTATATATTGCTTTATGTTAGTATACTGGGGGAGGTCGTCGCCTAATGGTTAGAGAGTCGGACTCGTAACCCAAAGGTTGCGGGTTCGAGTCTCGTACCGGCAGGGATTGTAGGTGGAGGGAGTGAATGTACAGCGCTCTCTTCCACCTTCAATACCATGACTGAGGTGCCCTTGAGCAAGGCACTGAACCCCCAACTGCTCCCCGGGCGCCGCAGCATAAATGGCTGCCCACTGCTCCGGGTGTGTGTTCACGGTGTGTGTGTGTGTGTTCACTGCTGTGTGAATAACTTGGCCACATGTCACGTCACTTGTTACGGTAAGTATTTGGATAAAATTGGATGTAGATCCAACTTTTAATATATTGTTGTTTAATTGTAGTAATGTAAACAATTATAATTTTTTGTTGAACTAAAAACATAAATTTAATAATACTAATAAAAATAACTTATTTATATATAGCACCTTTAAAAGTAACTTATCGATTTAATTTAATTTACATTTAATTTAAATCGAGTTATATTTAATTTGATCATTTAATTGAAACCGAGTTACTTAATGTAATTCAGTTTAAACTGAATCTTAATTTAAATTAATTTATGCTTTTTTTCTCTTTATTGGATGGAATTGTTGGTAGATGTGGCGAGAAGAGGATCAGGAAATGTTGCAAGCCAGACATAAATGTTTGTTTCCCACATGTGCACCAAAGCTTAACATGTCAGAGCAGATGCACTAATCAAGTTCATTTAAACATTAACTTTTTTTCCCCCTTATATTTTTTGGTTTTGCTTTTTTTAAACAGTTCATACCTTGGTTGGGCATGAAATTCCAAATGAGTTGTGTTCCTTTAACTGGTGCAGCTGCAGTTCAGTCCTGTGATTAGAAAACAAGACAGTTACACTCAAATTTAAACAGGAAATGACATCAGACAAGATCCTGCCCCCCCCCCAAGCTCTCTGGAGCTTTTGTTTTAAGGCAAAGCTATGAAAAGAGCAGGCGTTCTGCCAAAGCGGCGTTCGCTAAAGAGCTTGTGCGTGCCTCTGAGGGGAAACCGAATCCAAAAACAAACCCCTAACAATAGGGTGAATGATCTGGGGTTTAATGATGGGTAACTTTGTGTTTGCCATCTAATAACGCTGCACTCAGGCTTGTGAGGACAGAAGCCAGGAAACCAGAAAGAGGCTTCACAATACAAGAAGCAAATGCTACTGAGTGTGACCGCAGAGAGCTCCAGGGACCCAACTGACCTCATGTCTGTGCTGAGGCCTGCGAGCATCTGGGAGAAAACCAGGAAGTTACTCTCTCCCTCCGGCCTCTGACACACCCTCCATTTCTCCAGCAGCATAGTCTGAACCAGAGAGAGGAAACATTAGTTAGAATAGATGGACAGACAGACAGATAGATAGATAGATAGATAGATTGATCTCACGTGACATTGCTGTGCTACGTGGACATGAAAACGTATAGTTTGCATGGGTTTTTAAGCATGACGGTTTAAAAACAAGTGATTTTAAGCCATTGAAATGCAATCAGCAGTGAAATATGACTCATTTCGCTGTATGTGCGAGCTGCCTGAGAGACTGTTTCTGAGTCCTGTCAAAAAGGCACGCACACATGAAGACGGTGCTCATAGTGCTGCTTTATAGGCCTTGAACGGTTAAATACACACACTTGTATGTGTCAAAATGCCAGTTTTTGCAAGTATCCGCGTAAACACAGTAACTTAGGTCTTAAGTGATAGCAAACAGCCAAGAAAGAAAACACGTGTAACAGTATATTGAATCCGGGCAGGTCTTAAAGTGACAGCAGTCTAATCTTCCTGCTGTCTGTCATTCATGTTAATCAAACAACAAAAGAGAGAAAATCTCTCGCTGCTCTTTGACTAAATCACTTTTGTACCTTTAATAAGAAGAAATATATAGTATATTTGATTTACACATGAAGAAAATGCAGTGTTTTTATACATTTGATTACTTTATACATAATTTTTTGTTGAACTAAAAACATAAATTTAATAATACTAATAAAAATAACTTATTTATATATAGCACCTTTAAAAGTAACTTATCGATTTAATTTAATTTACATTTAATTTAAATCGAGTTATATTTAATTTGATCATTTAATTGAAACCGAGTTACTTAATGTAATTCAGTTTAAACTGAATCTTAATTTAAATTAATTTATGCTTTTTTTCTCTTTATTGGATGGAATTGTTGGTAGATGTGGCGAGAAGAGGATCAGGAAATGTTGCAAGCCAGACATAAATGTTTGTTTCCCACATGTGCACCAAAGCTTAACATGTCAGAGCAGATGCACTAATCAAGTTCATTTAAACATTAACTTTTTTTCCCCCTTATATTTTTTGGTTTTGCTTTTTTTAAACAGTTCATACCTTGGTTGGGCATGAAATTCCAAATGAGTTGTGTTCCTTTAACTGGTGCAGCTGCAGTTCAGTCCTGTGATTAGAAAACAAGACAGTTACACTCAAATTTAAACAGGAAATGACATCAGACAAGATCCTGCCCCCCCCCCAAGCTCTCTGGAGCTTTTGTTTTAAGGCAAAGCTATGAAAAGAGCAGGCGTTCTGCCAAAGCGGCGTTCGCTAAAGAGCTTGTGCGTGCCTCTGAGGGGAAACCGAATCCAAAAACAAACCCCTAACAATAGGGTGAATGATCTGGGGTTTAATGATGGGTAACTTTGTGTTTGCCATCTAATAACGCTGCACTCAGGCTTGTGAGGACAGAAGCCAGGAAACCAGAAAGAGGCTTCACAATACAAGAAGCAAATGCTACTGAGTGTGACCGCAGAGAGCTCCAGGGACCCAACTGACCTCATGTCTGTGCTGAGGCCTGCGAGCATCTGGGAGAAAACCAGGAAGTTACTCTCTCCCTCCGGCCTCTGACACACCCTCCATTTCTCCAGCAGCATAGTCTGAACCAGAGAGAGGAAACATTAGTTAGAATAGATGGACAGACAGACAGATAGATAGATAGATAGATAGATTGATCTCACGTGACATTGCTGTGCTACGTGGACATGAAAACGTATAGTTTGCATGGGTTTTTAAGCATGACGGTTTAAAAACAAGTGATTTTAAGCCATTGAAATGCAATCAGCAGTGAAATATGACTCATTTCGCTGTATGTGCGAGCTGCCTGAGAGACTGTTTCTGAGTCCTGTCAAAAAGGCACGCACACATGAAGACGGTGCTCATAGTGCTGCTTTATAGGCCTTGAACGGTTAAATACACACACTTGTATGTGTCAAAATGCCAGTTTTTGCAAGTATCCGCGTAAACACAGTAACTTAGGTCTTAAGTGATAGCAAACAGCCAAGAAAGAAAACACGTGTAACAGTATATTGAATCCGGGCAGGTCTTAAAGTGACAGCAGTCTAATCTTCCTGCTGTCTGTCATTCATGTTAATCAAACAACAAAAGAGAGAAAATCTCTCGCTGCTCTTTGACTAAATCACTTTTGTACCTTTAATAAGAAGAAATATATAGTATATTTGATTTACACATGAAGAAAATGCAGTGTTTTTATACATTTGATTACTTTATACAATGTATGTAGCATCTCTTATTTATTTGTTCTACTGTAGTTTTTTGTCCTATTGATTGCAATTAGTTTCTTACTCTTTTTTTATTTTAATCGCTGACTGTTTACTTGTCTTCAGTGAGCTTGAGTTTGTTTGTTTTTTTAAGAATTATGACACAAAGACCTTATTTAAAGCAAAAATATATATATATCGTGATATATCGTTACTGACACATAAAATTGCTCATATCGTGATATAAGATTTTGATCATATTACCCACCCCTAACTAAAAAACAAACAAACAAAAAGACAGACAGACAGACAGACAGACAAGATAGATAGATAGATGTACGAGCAGATGGATAGACAGACAGACAGATGAACAGATGGACAGATCGGAGCACCTGCAGATGTGCGGCAGCAGCGAGTCCGGCGTGGTTAAAATCCAGTGAGAGCACCATAGCGAATCGAGTCGAGGCCTCGCTGTGAGACGAGTTCACACACCCGAACGAGCGCAGCACTGTAAACACTGCCTGGAGCCGCTCTACTGCAGTTACACACACAAATCATGTCTCACAACCTGTGACAATGGACAAACACCACTAAACAGCCTCTAAACTGCTGCTATAGCGTTTCACCTATCACTTAAGGTCAGCAGAAGCAGATTCACACAGAGTCAGTGGAGCGAAACACGTCACACTGTGAGAGGAAGACCGAGTCAATTCAACCAGTGTGCAAATTCACGTTCGAGAGCTTTTGTTTTCTATCGTTCTATAGCTTTGGGTTACAAACACAGAAGTGGATGCACTCACAGGTAAGGCTTCCTCCAGCAGTTCCCGCTTGTTTCAGCAGCTCCTGGGAAAATGACTGACAGGAAGTGGTCTTCCCTGTGCCACTGCGGCCCAAAGCCACCAGCGTCTGGTCCCTCCGTTGACCCACCATAGACACGTACACCCTCCTCACCAGAGCCTGCAGTGGGCCAGGAGCCTCCCAGGACTCCCAGTGTCTGCTCCGAAGCCCCTGAAGCAAAACATATCAAAAAGCTAATTCACACCCTCACAAAAAGTTCTGTGGTGGGATCAAAGTCTTCATCTTGAAATTATAGCATTCTGAGTAATAAAGTCTTTTTTGTTACATACATACACGCCTTAATAAAAATAAAAAATATAAATATATAAATATAGCCTAAACCTGATATTTATAAATATATATATATATATATATATATATATATATACACCCACACACATACATATGCGTGCAATTATTTTAATTGCACTACTTCAATTACATTTAAATTTGATGTACAAATGCTACCTCAACAGAAATTCAGCAACTGAACTGAATTTAAAATGCTTTTTTAAAAATTAAAAATAAGTTAATTAAATAAAATAAAAAGTAAAGAAAATAAATGTATATATAACAATAGCCTACCACTGATATTAATAAATACATAATATAATATAACCTATATATTGTAACAATGCACAGTACATTATATAAATATTATAATATTTCATAATTTATGGACAATGACTGGTACAAATACCTCAATGTACTAATACCTTGATTGAAATTCAGCAACTGAACTGAATTTTAAAAGGCATTCTCAATTCATTTCTAAATAGTCCAAAACCTGATGGTATTATAACCACACACAAAAAAACACAAAACTTTTTTTTTTTATATATATATAAGCAAACTAACTTAGTCTATACATTTACAACTAATGTACTGTATGCAACTACTCTAACTAATGTCAAACTACATGTGTGATCATACAGGTCTCATTGATGGTTTTGTAAATACACTGCTCTTACCTTGCCTGGCGAGGACAGCGGAGGCCACAGAGCCAGTAGATTGGGCCCAGCGTGAGTCAAGGGTAGATGTCCTTTAGCTCGACTGGTCACAGTGTGAAGGACGCTCGACTCGTTCACGCTCACGAGGTCACTCAAGTCCTCACACAGGTCCAGCTCAGGTGGGTTCAGCTGAACACAGCCATCAAGAAAAGTCAACACTGGTCACGCACATCAGGATGACTTAAGTAGGGGAGTAAACTGACTGTACACACATCCATGTGTACCGAACAAATACAGCGTCATGCCAACCACTGCACGCACCGAGCTTAATTTGAAACTCCTAGTTTTAGACATTGTTACTTTTGATAAGAACAAAGTCTCATATTTCAGATTCTGTCCATTTTATTATGAAATTCAAACAATAAATGCCGTTTTGACGCTCTCTGTATTGGCGTCTCAGTTCAAATGGCAGGGCGGGTGAACACGATCGATCATCCCTTTCTCTTTACTTTAAAGTTTTAAAATGAAATAAACGTGAATGAACATCAGAAGGTATGTTGAAAGAAACAGTACAACTAACTGAAATGTATAATGTCTTAAGTGATCGCTCATTCAGTGTTTCAACCGCAGAAAAACGTCAATAAAACAGCTTGTAAACAAAGTTGTCATAGCATTACATTTACCTCAGGAAAGTCATTCATTTTCAACAGCTCGTTAGTTCACTAAAGAAATAAAGTCTAGAGAAGAGCATTTATATATGCACTATTAGCCTATATATTCTTTATATTTCACTTAACCTGTTAGTGATGCCTTAATTATTTAATACAGATGTTTAAGTAAATATGCCATACATTTTATAATTAGATTTAAGGTCCTTGCACATAGAGTCCGAAATTTTCATATGCGTTTTTTTGTTTGGTTTTCATATTCATCATCCTTTCCTATCAAAATGCTTGCTACGGATGCGAAAACACAGAAAATCGAATCTGATCCCAATATTTTTATGACGGCCGGAAGTTTCGGAGGCAGTGCTTAAACGTGATTGACACAACGTGAGGTCGTATTTATTTTTTAACGTGCGAAAATTTCGGACTCAGTGTGCAATGACCTTTAGACTTTAATGTAAAAACAGCTTCATGTGCAATTTACAAGTTTGCATACATTTTTTTTAATTTGAGTGTTTATTATTATATCTAAAATAGCATTTGAATTTAATAGTCCGGGATCTGTAGTTCATTGTAATTGTATTATAGTAATGTGCACGTTATAGGGCTTCCTATATAGTTTTCAAGCATTAGCTGAGGTAGATTTTTTTTATCCTTAAGAAAATTGTGACTATAATTGAATTTAAAGAGAGCAGTAATTTGTTCAGTAAACCACTGTTTAAAGGGGTAATATGACGTTGCTAAAAAAAGAACATTATTTTGTGTATTTGGTGTAATGAAATGTGTTTATGTGGTTTAAGGTTAAAAAAACACATTATTTTCCACATGCTGTACATTATTGTTTCTCCTCTATGCCCCGCCTTTCTGAAACGCGTCGATTTTTACAAAGCTCATCGTTCTGAAAAGCGAGGTGTGCTCTGATTGGCCAGCGATCCAGTGCGAATCAAGCGTGTGACGGAAATGTTACGCCCCTTACCATACTGTGACGCCCTGTCCGGCCGGAGCGACGAGACAAAAACCTTAAAACCCATTATAAATATTGTATTAAAATATTGTAAACATAAAACCATGTCTGCATTTGTGATCGGAGAAATAACAACAAGTGCTACTCTACACTGCTCAAAACTCACGTTTGAATCGTCAGTGGCAAATTCTTTAAATATGAAAACTAACTTACAGGCTGTGAGTCAAAACAGCCGGCATTGTAGTCTACTCTCCCAGGATCAGGAAACAGTCCTCCATAAAATGCGCTGCACACATCTGAATATTTGTGTTGAACTGTTCTGGAACAGTGTTGTAAATACAACTTAACCACTGATTTCTAGTTGTGTCCTCTTTTGGAAGACCAAACAAAGTATTTTCGCTTTCGCAACGAAACACACAGTGTCTCCACGACATGGTGGTGGCGGGAACAATACTACAGCGAGAATCAAAGTTACGCCTTCTTTCTTTGCGTGAACATTTGGGCGGTGTTATGCAAATCTTCCCACATGGTGACGTAGACATGTGGGGGCGTGTTAGAACGAGCCGTTTTAGGGGGGCGTGGACGAGTCTTAACTTTTATAAAGAACATCTCTTTGGGTTTGAGACTTCAGTCTTTGCAACTTTAGGGATCTTATCTATTCACGAACAGCTTGTAACACTCCAAAGAGAAAGGAAAACTTGAAATCGCATCATATGACCCCTTTAATTAAAATGAAAAAGAAGTAATTTGATGTTTTTTTCCCGTACTGAACATTGTCAAAACTGAGGTATGTACCGAACCATCATGTTTGTGTACCGTTACACCCCTAGTTAATAGCGTTGAATAGTTCACCTTTTCAATCTCATACTGGGAAACGTCATGGACGGATCCGTCAGAGTCCAGTCGAACCCTCACCCTGCCATCAGGGAGCTCCGGTGTGCCTTCGTCCGGCTTTAGCTGAGTGGCTGAGACAAATCAGATGCCAGGCAGGTCAAAGGTCACTGTAAAACTCAACGTAAATCCAATATTTTGTGTACAAGGTTGAGACATCTGAAAACCAGTGGCTTTGGCCACATCAAACTTGGTGCAACAATTCATAAGAATAATTTTATTGGTGCTTTTGTTCTTTTTAGAGCCTGACAGCTTTTGGTTCATGAAGATACTGCAGTGCTGTGTGATGTATGCAGTAATCTTTGAATCTTGTAACATGGCAGCCTCGGCGCGTAGATTTAGCGAGGCTATGAGCCTGATAAGATAAGAACACTAAACCCATTCATCACTAAACTGAAGCAACGCAATAGCTAACGGCACCATAGATCCGATCACCAAAAAGATTAGCCTCTGAGCCCTTTCCGATCTTTTCATGCAAAGAGAATCTTGCACCAGAAGAGAGATATTTTAAGCAATATGAAGTTAAAATGTGGGAGCAAGAGTTGAAACTGAAAGCAATGCGGCTTTTACATAGTATGAAAACAGTGACTTCTGGGATAGTACCAAAAATAATAATAAGGCCACATGTAAATAGCATCCTCTAATAAAAAACATCAAGCTAATAATAACCTGTAACTCAACACCACAGGAGAGCTGGTCTAGTGTTCAGACATGACTTAGTAAAATTCAGGCATGATAAACCAGATCAACAACTACTAAAAATACCAAACAATGTGTCATTAACAACAGATTTTGTTCTCTTAAATGTCCGGTGGACACTCAAGCACAGGTGTAAAGAGGTGACTAACCGAGTGTATAACCGTCTTTGTGAGCATACCACACTTTGCCAGCTTCATACCACACATCCCTCTGCAGAGAAAAAGAGAAAACAGTAAGTTAAATGTAAAAAAATATATATATATTTTTTATACAAAATATTATTAAAGTGAGTACCAGCAATCTCATAGTATAACCCATTTCTGCTGGGAGAGAAAATTTAAAAAGAAAATATAACCAAAATAAAATCTAGTTTTGATTTTATGAATATTAAGCTGACTTGCATATCAGAGTAATAAATAAAATAGGTGAGAAAGTTTAGAGTAAGAAAAAAAAAATCTAAATTTTGTGACAATTGAGATAAAGTCACTGTGAAATATTAAGTCACATTGTGATACAAAGTCACAATTATGTGAAAGTCTCAGTTGGTGTCAGTTATAAGTCAGTTATATTAATAAACTTATTATTTGTTAAATTCTTTTTTAATTATTAGATCCCTAGAACATCACAAAATGTTTTTAGCTTTACAAAAACTTGAAAGTGTAGAGAAGACTATGGTCAGACATTTTCCAAAATTTGACTAAAACAATCACTTTTGGTGAAGGTGCTAGAGACACATGTAAAGCATCACGCTAATAGCAGTGATGTGTTTAGTGTATTTATGATGTTCTACCTACCACTGGAACCTTGGGCTTCTCTCTTATGGGGGTTACAGTGATCTGACCCTCAGGCTCTTGCACTTCCTGTTTCAGGGGTTTAACTTCTTGCTGCAACTTTACTTCTTCTTTTTTCACTTCTTTTTCCAGTGGTGGTGCTGGAGATTTCGCTGTCTCTGTCCTGAGGCTGACCTCTGGTGTGGTAGACTTTGAGCCGGTTTTTGGATTTTTTGGGTCGGGTGACATTATCCTCCTGGGGGAGGACGTTTTCTTCTCTGTCAATGCGGTGTGGCGGCCACGTTCCCCGTTCACCAGCTGCTCCGCTCGAAGTGCCATCTCCGCTTCCAGTATCGGTGGAGTTTGGTCGGGAAGTAAGAAGTTCTGGACCAGGTTGTCGCTGAGTTTCCTGGGCTGTGAGGGGCGTTAAAAACACAAGAAGCTTGATGGAAGTCATCTTCATATCAAAACAAGCCCTCACATGCTGGTAAAGCCAACTAAAGCCAGCTCATAATGGTGAGTTAATAAATGATAACAGTCAGTGGCATAAATTATTTGAAAGAAACTTCTTAAGAAAGAAGTTAAGACATTTCTTACGATTCTAAGAGGTTCGTAAGAATGTTCCCAACTGCAAAAAAGAGTTTGCAAATATTTTCTTAAGAACGTTTTTTTTCTAAATAAAGAAGCCAAGGCATTTCTTAAGATAAATTCTAAGTTCATAAGAATGTTTCTGAGTGTAATTTTCGAAAAATTCGCTACTATTTTAAGAACTTATTTTTTTTTCTTAAGAAAGAAGTTAAAGGGGTCATATGATGCGATTTCAAGTTTTCCTTTCTCTTTGGAGTGTTACAAGCTCTTGGTGCATAAAGAAGATCTGTAAAGTTGCAAAGACTAAAGTCTCAAATCCAAAGAGATATTCTTTATAAAAGTTAAGAGTCAACCACACCTACCTAAAACGGCTCGTTCTAACACGCCCCCACATGTCTACGTCACTGTGTGGGAAGATTTGCATGACGCCGCCCAAATGTTCACGCAAAGAAAGAAGGCGTAACTTTTATTCTCGCTGTAGTATTGTTGCTGCCGCCATGTTGTGAATGCGCTGTGTGATTCATTGTGAAAGCGAAACTACTTTGTTTGGTCTTCCAAAAGAGGACGATATCTGCTTCGTCATGCCTGGAGCTGATCCGTGCTGGTTGCTGAGGAAATACTACAACTTTGCGCTGTGGATCGCCGGATCGGCTTTCACCGTGAACGAAGCGGAGTCCAGCCCGGGGTCGTCACATGTGGTTGCCGCAAGCCTGCCGGATGCTCCTTCATCAAATCCTCACTTTATCCCCCGGCCTCTGCTCACTCTAGGCCGCCGTGTGTGACGCTGTG